TTTCATTTATTATTATTATTATTATTATTATTATTATTATTATTATTATTATTATTATTATTATTATTATGCAAATATTAATTTCAATTTTGGAATCATTTCAGATTCAAGATAAAAAAAATTCAATTATTACCTACTTTACTAAACAAATTATAATTATTTATTGTTTTCACAAACTTTACTTAAATTCCTGAGAAAAATTCAATTATTTTTAAAAATTTTAATAAAATTCTCAGCAAGATTTCAATTATTTTCATAATTTATAATATTTTTTGCAGTAGGTAATTTAATTATTTTTTAAGAATTTTAATAAAATTCTTCACAGAAATTCAATTACTTTGAAAAATTTTTGATAAAATTATTTATAAGAAATTCAATTATTTAAAAAAAAATATTAATTATGACGCATTCTTCGCAGAAATTCAATTATTTTCAAAAATTGTTATAAAGCTCTTTATAAATAAAGAATTTAAATATTTTTAATATTATTTAAATTTAATTTCTCGTATGAAGTAACTCGTTTTTAAAAATTTTTATTAAATTTTCAGTTTAGCAAATTTAATATTTCGAAAAATTGGGATAAATTTCTTTATAAGAATTCAATTATTTCAAATTTAAAATTATAAAAGAAATATTTTTAATTTAAATTAATTTTCGTTTAATTAAATTTTGGTATTTTTTTAAGCTTCAAAGCAGTAAATTAGAATTTCATAAATTAAAAAATTAAAAACATTAAAAAGAAAAATTATCAAAAAAATTAGAAAACAAAAAGCAAACGTAAACAAGATAAATGTTTTTTTTAAATGATTTTTGTTAATATTGTTAAATATTTAAGGGCATTTGAATAATAAAACAGTAAAAATTTCTACTAATTCTTAGGAACTTTTCCATTGAAACTTTAGTAAAATATTTAGAACTACTAAATAAAATAAGACAATAAGAAAAGTTTTATACAAATATTGTTCATTACGGAAAAAATAATATTTATTAAAAAAGAAATTTGGCTTCTATTTGAGAATTTAAATTCCTCATTTTATTTTTGAATAGAAGCCAAAATTTTATTTTCAAATTTTAAATATCGTTTTTATTAATTATCCCGTGTGGAAAATGAAAATTGGTCCTAGCCAGGTCCTACCTATTTTGCCCTGTTAATAGCTTGGTCCTAGGTTGGCAGTGTAGGTTGGACCAACAATGGGTGGTGATGCGATTCTAGTCTGGTCCTAACTTGGGAGCCTAGTTAGGACCAGTTTATGGGTCCATTTTAGGACCTAGAAAGGACCATCTCAGACAGTATTTTCTATTTCATTATAATTTTAATTAGTTAATAATATTTGTTAAAGAAATAACCTAAATTATTAATAATAAGTATTAGTTTTAATTAATTATTATTTTTTTCAATTAAGTGATGACCAAAAGCGAATTCATAAATAATGTTAGTATATGTAGAGATTAATATATATTCCTCTAATATATACATTAAAAATTATAAAAAAAATTAGAAATTTGTTAATTAAATTATTTTACAGTATATATAATCATTAAATTGCATACTTATACGAATACAACGCAGAAAAATCGGAATAAACGCAAACCTAAGAAGTAAATAAAATCGAACGCACGCGGGAATCGAACCTACGACCTACGGACTACGAGACTAACGCCCTAACCACTATGCTAATGAAACTAGTTGAGATGAAAATTTTTATTGTCAGTGACTTGTGGACTTGCTTTTGATGATTCAATATAGTAGTTATTGACACTAATACACGATAATAAATAAAAAAAATAGTTTAACAACAACAATAATAATAAAATAATATCCAAATATAAAAATTCAAAAATTAATATTTTTATATTATATCAAGAAAAAAATATCTGTACATTTTCGTTAAAAACAGGTTTTTCATTGTTCTCAATCATTTTCAACATTAATTTCTTGGTCTAAAAAAAATATTCGTCTTTTGGACTTGGAAATTTTTCCTAATTAATTAAGCGGGTGATCCACTTTTTAAAAAAATGTCAAAAAAATGTATGTTAAAAACACGTTTTTCATTATTCTAAATCATTTTAAGCATTAATTTTTTGTTGCAAAAAATTTTTTAGACTTGGACTTAGAAATTTTTACTAATGAAACTAGGAAGCCCAGGTAGGTCCTGGGTTGGACCTGGGTGGGTCAGCCCACATTCGAATTGCAATATCTCTTAGTGTTTAGCACCAACTTAAACAAAACTTCAAATCAGCGAACGAAATTAGAAATATACTTTCCTAATGATAATTATATTGCAGTCTGTATCTGTTTAAATAAATAAATAAATTTTGCTGTTATATTAACTTTTGTAACAAATTACTTAAAAATTTGCAGTTTTTATCTAACTTCGCGATTATTACACTTGAGTAGTGAAATATGAAGATAATTTATAATTTTAACAATTCAGCATTTGTTTAAACAAAAAATTGTTGTTATTTATTAATTCTTAAGACAATAAAGCGTCTAGACACTTGTAGTCTTTTAAAATTTTGCAATTAACTAATCTGAGTATTTACTTATTGCAAAATTAGAAAAAACTGCTAGTTTCTAGGTTGATTGTGTAAAAAGTTAGTAAATAACAATTATTTGTTTAAACAATTGCTGAATTAATAAATTAATAAATTAACTTTATTTTATAGTATTTGTATAATTTTCTGATTTATGTCAAACAATAAATTGTTTAAACAAATATGATTATCAATTAATTTTATAAATATTAATTGAGAATATTTATCAATTTTTACATGTTTTTCATGTATCAATTTTGACACTTTATTTTCCTAAAAATTTTTCTAAGTCATAACTGGATCTCCTAGCTAGTACCAAGTTAGGACCAGCCTAGGATATATAAAAAGGGGTTGCCAAGTTAGGTCCAAGCTAGGGCCAATAATCATTTTAGGCATAGCATGGTGATTTCTACACGGGATATCACGATGAGAATATATAGGTAATAATAAAGAACAATAGTATTAAAAAAAATTAGTTATAATAATAATTTATTTATTTTATTATTATTATTTTATATTTTTTTTATAATTTAACATTAATTTTTTTATATTTTGCATTATATAGATATAATATGGTTGATAATATAATTTTTCTTTTTTTTTTTATTTTTTAATAAAAGTTGGGATTAAATTATTTAAAAAAAATGTTAAATATGCGAATTATTTTTACGTTCTTGAACGAGAGCGAATATTGCAGGAGAGATGAGGGCAGGAAGTAAATTTTCTATTCTCATAAATGTTTGATATCAGTTCGCGATAATTAAAAATAGCTTCACATACCCGAAAAAAAAAGAAGTGGAGTAGGTTGACATTTTGAAAAGATTACGTAAGGATCCCAAGAGGTTCTTTCACGATCTCGCACACGATGCTTTCTCGTTTGAAAAGGCGGACCGTAACTCAAGGCTACATAAATTTCTTCTTCCGAGCTACATTATAGCCGAGCCGATTACGTATGCCTAAACTGAAAAATCGTCTAGAAATCGAAAAAACCCACGATGTTCTTCGCTCCATTTGAAATTTTTTATATATTTTTTCTTCTTCTTTTTTTGTGATGTACGCGACTAATTTGCATTTTAAAGAAAGTATATAGATACTATATGAAATAGAATAAAAAGGATGAAAAAAAAATTTGTAAATTAAAATTCAATACTTGACAGTAATTTATACAGTGTGTGAATATTTTATTGTTAAAATTGTAAAATTTCATATGTGGAAAATTATTTTTTCTATTTTATTTTTTTCTTATATAGAAGAAACTGCGTGTCTCTTTTTAGTCGAATAAAAATATATAATAAACAAAAATTTTTAGGATTAAAAATTCTATCCTTATAGAAGTGGATTTTTATTTTTTATTCGAATAAAAATTCAGAACAAATAAGAAAAATATTAAAAAATTAAAAATTAAATTGAAAATAATGAAAAAATTAATAAAAACATTAGATTGGAAATTTTTCGTTTCGGTTAAAAAAAAAAGACTATACGTTTGCTTTGAAAATAAAAAAAAAATTAACATCTAGTTGAAGAAAATTAAGAAAAAAACGTTAAATATTTTCCTATTTTTTTATTTAATTTGACATTTACATATCGATGTAACGTTTCATTCATATTTCCGTGAATAAATAATTGCGTTTTAATAAATAAATGATGAGTTTAAAATTTTAAATAGAATAGTAATAAAAAATTAAAAATACATGAAAAAATGAAGTAAAAAATTGTCATTATAAATAAGTGAGAATTAATTTCTCATATGATTCTATTTGGTTTAATCATTACAATACTGTGAGTATTTTCGTTTTATTGACTCATTTCATTGAATCATTGGACGAATTAATTAAAATTTATTTGATTCAAATAAAAAAAAAAAAATTCTACCAAAAATGTATATTTGGTTTTAATTTAGAGGGAAAAATAAATATTTTGTACGATAAAAATTAATAGAAAAAATTAATGCAGGAACTGCTTAAAAAATTTTTTTTTAAATGGATATACAAATGTATATAAAAATAAATTTTTAAAAATGGATAAGAAATGGATATTAAAAATAGAGAAAAAATAAATAAGTAAATTGATAAATAATATTAAAGTGAATAGGTAAAAAAAATAAGAGATTAAAAAATTGATAAAAAAACAAAAAAACAACCAAAAATATAAAAATGGATAAAAAAAATTAAGTAAAAGATGGATAAAAAATTAAAAATATTATTTAAATAATAGATAAAAAATTAATTAAACGATGATTTAAAAAAGTAATTAAAAATGGATTAAAAAATTAAAAAAGATGGATAAAAAAGTGAATAAAAAAATTTATAAAAAATTGATTAAAAAATGGATAAAGAAATAATTCAAAAAATGGATAGAAAAATGAATTAAAAAACAAATCAAAATAATTTTATAAATATTAATTCATTTTCAAAAAATAAATTCTTTTGAATCAAATAAATTTTCATTTTTAGTAAAACAATAATGAATTTTGTTTATAATAAAGTAACTAAATTAAAATCTATTTCTTTCTCTCTAACTTTATTCGTCAATTTTATAATTTGGCGTTGGTTTATTGATGGTGGCCCAAAATAATATTAATTTAGTGATATCGTGTCGAATGAAAAAAATGAATGGCCGATTGGCAATGAATTTTGGTTTATCGTTCATTCGATCAATTGCCGAAGCAATTGTTGCGGCTGATGCTTCAGTTCCTTTCTCATTAATACTTATCTCAACACTGTGTAAAACATCCTCGACCATTAATGTTGAATGTTCATTTTGATTGTTATTATTTTTTAATGAAGCAAAACCCGAACTCAAATCAGCTTCCTCAAATAAAGTTTTCATTCCAAGAGATTGCAATGTATGCTTTAAACGCAATGAACTTGTTAGTTTCATTTTTGGGAATGCAACAATGCATTCTTGACTCTTCATTCTGCGAATTAAATCGTCTAATATTGATGGATTTAAGATTTTTTTGAATTCTCTTAAGGCAATTGCTCCTTCGACTTTTGGTTGTAAAACGTACATTGTTGTCTGGAAAAAAAGAAAGAAATGTATTTTTTTAAATATTTTATTTATTTTTTCATTTATTATTTATTATTTTATCAATTTATAATTTTTATTGTTTATTATTATTATTTCATTTACTTATTTTTTCAATCATTTATTTTCTTTACTATCTTGTTTACTTTATTTAATTTATTGCTTAAATTATTTATTTTCTTTACTATTTATTGTTCAACTTATTATTATAATTATTCAATTTTCTTATTAGTTATCATTTTCTTAATTAATTATTTTATTAATTATTTTTTTTGATTTTTCAATTTTTTATTTTTTACATTTTTATTTTTAACTTTCTTATTATTCACTTCTTCTATAGTTCATGTTTTACGAAATGTTTTCCTTTATGAACCCGTGTATAGAAATAAATAAAAAAAATGTTTCATTATTATTATTCACTTTATATATTAAAAATAAAACTAATACTTTCTCATGTGATGAGAATGTAAAAATATTTTATTAGATAGTCTCGATTTTTTTTTCTTCAATGAAAAAATCCGCTTATTTCCTTTTATGAGAAAAAATAATTGAAAATAGTTTTTTATTTATTCCTTAAAATTGAAAGAATTGAGAAATTTTTTTTAGAAAATCATAAAAAGAAACTTACATTGGAATTTTTGTAGGGCAGTCCGATTATTTTAACACCCAACTCTTTGCTCATGAAATAAGGGAATTCCTGAGAGGTGAACATCAAATCGATATTTATAAATTGATTTGGTTCAATCTTGAAATAACTCCTGTAAATAATTATACGAATGTAAATTTATAAAAAAAAATGGAAACAATTGAATAAAATCTTATAGAATTTTTCTTTACTTTTAATTAATTATTGTCAATTAATTTTGATTAGTTAATTTCAATTAATTTTGATTTTGATTAATAAATTAATTGACAAACCTTCTTGTGGCGAAATCTGAAAAAGGATGACTCCATTCTGCATTGAAATATAAAGCAGATGCAAAAATAATTTGCGATTTTGGATGAAGATCTTTAGTTAAAATTTCCGTAATTTTTCCATTTGTTTTATAATTAATCCAATCGTTCACTGTTTTTTTGGCCTTTACACTATTCAAAAAATTCAGACCGTAAATATCGGACTTGTAAAATTCAGTACTTTTGTTTTGAAAATTGCCTTTTATTTGTTGTCCTTCCTAACAAACAAACAAAAAATGAGGAAATTCAATTTTATTTCAATTAGTACTTTGTAATTTTTAATCAAAAAGAAAATTTTTCCAAATGGTTAATAAAAAGTTATTTTTTTCCAAATTGTTGTTCTTTTTATGCAAATATATTATTCGATCATAAAATTCAATAAAATCGTATTGTATAAGAATAAAAATAAAACAAGTATAAAATAAATAAATAAAAAATATATTTTCTGTTTTAAAAAAGTTATTGAAAATAAAAAAAAGAGAAAATTTACCTGAATAAAAAGTCCATTCGCATATTTAGTTTGATAGTTTTCGTCCATTCTATCGATTTTTCCAAGTAATTGACCAAACGTTTTGTGAATAACATCATAATAAATTGGTGTTAATTCATAAGTGTTTAATTGCAATCCAAGTGTTCGAGAAATTTCCTGAAAAGTATTTCCCTTTGCTGCCAACATAATAAGTGCCAAATTTCCAGCTAGGCAAACTGGTGAAAAAATAATATTCTCATTGTCATCAGTTTTATTTATTAAACTCCTGCTCGCTTTAGACATTGCATCATCAATTTTTAAGGCAAATTGAACAACTCCGTGGGAAATTACATTTTTCTATTTAAAAAAAAACAAATTCAAAATAATTAATTAATTCACATGTTTTTCAGAATTTATAAACTAATAAATAATAATTACTTTCTACAACAATTGAATATTTTATTATTTTTTTATATTTTATATTACTTTATTCTTATTTTAATTTTTAATTTAATTTTTAATTTAATTTTTTATTTAATTTTTACTTTCCTTTTTTTACAAAATTTATTTTAACCTACATTACAACAAATGATTTTGTTTTAAAGAATAAATCAGCATATTTGAAAATTAAATGAAGCAGATAATTTAAGCGCATTGAGGATTAAATTTTCATGTTAATTACAAGATATAATATATTCAATTTTAACAAAATTTTGTGAGTAAATAAATATTGTTTTTTTGTTATATTTATAATTGTTTACTAACAATATCAACATAGAGCCTTCCATTGTTTACTGGATTCAGAAATTCCAAATTTCGTGTATTTGGATAATAACCTGGTACTGGAAAAGTAATTAAAAATTTTATTTTATTTTTTTTACTTTTTGTAAATAATGTAATCAAACATGCATCAATTATTAATTAATTAATTTTACTTGAGAATGTATTTATTCACTTGTAAATGGAAAAATATAATTTTACGCACATGGAAATATATATTTATATATATAATGCACGAGAATATAATTTTAATATTATTAAAAAATAAAAATTTATAAAATTACAAAAAAATATTAATTGGAAAAATATTATAAAATTGGGAATTAATTAAAAAAAAATTGAAAATTTCTATTTACCTCTCTCTCTTACTTGCTCCGTTTCGTCAGGCATAATAAAATCCAAATTTAAAGCGTTGCTGCATATTAATATGCAATATAATACTAACAGTTGCTTCATTTCTGTAACAGTGGGAAAAACCTTTTTTTTATTTCATTCCAAAATATTACATTTTTTTCAAAATTTTATAATAATTTTAATAAATTACGTTCTAAATGACACACAAACTCAGCGGATTTAATAATCAACTAATTTGATAATTAACTAATTTAATGATGAACTAATTTGGTAATTAACTAATTTAATGATTAACTAATTCAATAAGCTAATTAAAAAAATTAACTAATTTAATGGTTAACTAATTTATTAATTAACTAATTTAATAGTTAACTAATTTAATGATTGACTAATTTAATAATTTACTAATTTAATAATTTACTAATTTAATAATTTACTAATTTAATAATTTACTAATTTAATAATTTACTAATTTAATAATTTACTAATTTAATAATTTACTAATTTAATAATTTACTAATTTAATAATTTACTAATTTAATAATTAACTCATTCAGTAATTAACAAATGTTTCCAGTAGAACATTTATTTCTAACAATTGGAAAAATATTTGCAAGCAATGTTAAATTAATGTTTTATTAGCAGTAAAAAAAGCAAAGAGTAATATTTTATAATAAAAAAATTAAACCGGTTCTTTCTTTTAATTTACAATATATTTATTCTACTTCAAAAAATTATTTACTTTAATTATATTAATATACGTTCAAAACCGAAAGGGTTTAAAATATTAATAAACATTTAACTATATTAATTTTCGTCAACAAAAAATGAATTTAAATTATTTTTATTAATTTATATTAATTTATAACTATTTATTTATAATTATTTTTTATTATTATTTATATATTTATTTAAATTTACATTAATTTATGTCAATTTATTTATATTGATTTACACTAATTCACAGTAATTATTAATTAATTATTAATATAACAATTAAATAAAAATATTTTTTTTATTTCATATTGGTAATATTTTTAGAAAAACCGAAAAAAATTGAATAAACAGTAACACGTGTAGAAAAATTGAAAGTGAATAGAAAAGAAGAAATAATTTACTTGATGCGATGTAAATAAGTGATGAGACCCTACTGACGAGTGTTAGAAACAAGCAACTTCAATTTGGTCAAAAGTGAACTGACTGACTCACTGTGACTATTAACTCGTGTTTTCCATTATATATGTAGGAGGAGTGATCCCGACGTAAATTCCGTCGTCGTCGTCGAACGCCTTCAATTGTATGTTATCTCTTCTTTTACAAAGATTATACTGATTATTTACCTTTCGATGCATCGATGACGTAATCAACGCAAGGTGTTATATATGCGCCAATAAAATAATCAATTAATCACTTTCCACGAAGATCAAATTTAATCACAATAAAAATTAGAAAGGTATGTTCTATACATATAACTATATATTATAGATATATGTATATATGTGTATATGTATACATAAAGTTTGATCAATTCTATCAATTATCCAATCTATTAACGTACAGTGAATTGAACAGTGAAATAACATTCGTTACAATGATAAAGAAGACAAATTTATATTTGATAAACTGAACTAAATTCTCTTTTTTTGGTGTTTAAATTTTTTTAAATAAATAATTTTTATTAGGTAAATCAGTTTTTTTATCTAAATAATTTTTTTATTCATATTAATATTATTAAGAATAACAATTTATTTTTTATTTTTATTATTTATTTACAATAATTCTCTCTGAATTATAATTCGTAATAATTATTAATATTTAATAAATATTAAATAACAACCAACTCATTTTTAAATATAATTTATTGAATCGTCTTAATCAATTTCGATTAAATTTTAATGTATGAATTTAATTTAAATTTCCAGTTAACATTGAATGGAATTTAAATTTAATGTAATTTACAATTTAGTTTTTAAATAAATTAACAATGTAGTAGATTTCTTATTACGAAAAATATTATCTTAATCAATTTCGATTAAATTTTAATGTATAAATTTAAGTTTAAATTTCCAGTTAACATTGAATCGAATTTAAATTTAATGTAATTTACAATTTAGTTTTCAAATAAATTAACAATGTAACAGATTTCTTATTACGAAAAATATTATCTATTTTAATAAGTTAATAAATTATTTAAGTTAACTTACAAAATGCAAAATGTTAAATTTATAATTTTATTATTATTATTATTATTAATATTGTTTTTATTAATATAATTATTATTGCCTTTTTGTTAAAATCGTGTTTCAATTATTTGATAATAAAAAGGCCTTTTTGTAGCCTTTTTATTATCAAATAATCATCATTATTATTACTAATATTGCCATTGTTAATATATTATTATTCTACAATTGCTTTACTAATTTTTTCAAATAAAATACAAAAATTATACCCACAATTTTTTTTTATTGTGAAGAGACAACATTTTTGTTTAATGAATTGTAAAGAATAGATAATTGGTGAACAATAGGTCCCCCTTATTTTATTTCACCTGTACGGTGTTCAACAGATTTTTTTAAATTGATGTGTATATTATAATAGACAGTGAACAATAGATTGAATCTAATGCAGTAGTGTGAAAAGGAAAAATTAAATATTAATTCTTAATTCCGGGAAAAAAGTATTTATTATTCTATTATTGTTTATTTTTATATTAAGGCGTAATAAAAATTTTACTTCCATGTTAGACGCAGTATTTTATAATAAACAATTACTAATAATTTTTTCTTTAGTCAATGTAAATTTTTTTCTATTAACTAAATTATAACTAAATTTTCAATAAATTAACTTTTTTCCATGAATTAATTGTTTAGTGTTAACAGAATTGTAATATTAACTTTTCTTTATTAATTGTTTTTATCAATTATTTGTAGAAATTTTATTTTTATTATTTTTAATTTAACAATAATTTTTATTATTTAAATGTTAGTAAATTTACTTTTTTATTAATTGATTTGTTTTTTTATATTGATCTTTATAAAGAAATTTTTTATTAATTTTTTTGTATTAACTATTTTTTATTATTCTTATATTATTTATAATTATATTGTTCTATATTCACAAATTGTTATTCATTTCTTCGCCTTAACTATTTTTCATTGAATACATATCTTTTTTTATTTTTGATTATTTTTACTACCATATTATTTTTCATTAACTAATTGTTATTAATTTTTTCGTATTAACAACTTTCCCATAGTATTTGTTTTATTTTTAGATTTTTTAAATTAATTTTTTGTGTTATAAAGTCTTTTTCTTTAATAAGTGGATTAAATAAATTAATTCGTTAAATAGTTAATTTATAAATTAATTAATTGGTTAATTAGTTAATTAATAAATTACTTAATTGTTTAATTAATTAAATGACAAGTTAATTAACTGCTTAATAAATTAATTGGTTAATCAATTTATTGATAAGTTGATTAAACGGTTAATATATTAATTTGTAAAGGGATTAATTGATAAATTATTTAATTGGTTAATTAATTAATTGACAAGTTAATTAACTGCTTAAAAAATGAATTGGTTAATCAATTTATTGATAAGTTAATTAAACGGTTAATATTTTAATTGGTTAAGGAATTAATTGATAAATTAATTAATTGGTTAATAAATTAATTGACGACTTACTTAATTAGTTATTTAATTAATTAACAAATTACTTAATTTATTAATAAATTAATTTTCAAATTAGTTAATTAACTGTTCAATTAATGAATTATTAATTCAGATCGACAAATTAATTGATTAATAATAAATAAATACTATTTATTACTAGACTAATAATAAATTTTATTGATTAAAAAATAATAAATTTTTTGTTAAATAAATAAATGAATAAATATTGAAGTGAATAAGTTTTTATTGATAATTTCATGCAGGTGAGACATAAATTCCCAGAAAAAGTGCAGTACATTTAGTTTATCTGCAATGATTCATTTTTGAAAGAATTGTCGACTCGTTGTTTAGTTTAGAAAACGTTATTGATATCCATATTATGCAGTAGATATCGCAGAGAAGTGTTTGAGCATAATTAGTTTTTCTTTTCTTTTTTTTTTTGAAAGTCGGAAAAGAAGAATGAATACAATATGAATCAAATATGTAAATAGGTCGTGTATTCTATTGCGTTGTATAATTATTATTTCTATTTTCGTTGCTAATCTCAGACTAAGGATGCCTACACAATAATTCTATAATCACGAATAGTTCACCCCCTTTTACATGAGAGCACTTCGCATTGCTTCACGCCAAACAGCATTTAGGAGGAGATTTCACCTACATATAAATTATATGTTACTAAAATTACACATCAATACATCACTTTTCATTCACAATTATTACTAATTAAGTCTAATTACTCTTTGAATCTTAATTAAGTTCGTGAATTTTCAGTTTTTATTTTTCTCCCTCTTCAACTTTCGATAATTAATTATTTATGTATTATTACCAACAATAAAGTGCTCTTTTTAGTAATTACAAAAGTTTTCGCTCTTTCTAAAATAAAATTCTTTCCTTTCTCTTCATAAATTTTAAGAAAATTATTTTTATTTATATCAGTTTTAGAAAATTATACCTGAATTTAAAATTTTAATCGAACTTCGTTTGTAGTTGGCATTTTTTTTATTTTTTGAAATATCGGAAAATTTTAATGTGATTGTTTTGCTATTTACGTTCGACAGACAAAAGTTAATCAATTTAAAATTAAATTAAAATATTCAGACGTAAATAATTATAATTTAAAAAAAATGTGTGCATTAACAATGAGATTTAAATACTTTAATTCCTAGACGTTGTCTCATTAATATTCGATTTGAAATAAGTTTAATTCTTGCAATTATTTACCAAGAATTCAATTAAGAAATTTCAATTTATTCTTGAATGCAAAATAAACCGAGAATAAAATTATATTATTAACAATCATATTATAATTAAAATGAAAATAATAGCAATTATTATTATTATTATTATTATTTTAAAAAGCCATTATTTGAAATAATAAAACAATAAAATATCGATGGACGGAAATTCAAAGAATTATAATGTCGCGAAATTCAAATTTAATGTCAAATTTAATAAAACAAAAATTGAAAACAACTGATTAAAATTAATTCTTAGAATAATATTGCCCTAATATATTGAATATGTAGGGAAAACTGCCACAAAAACAGTATTTTAATTTAAGAAATTAATTGAATGAGAAAAGCATTACATGAATTAACAAAAAATTAACTCAACTAAAAATATTGAATTAAAAACAAGAATTACATTTGAAAAAAATGGTAAATATAAATGTAAATGTTGTATGATGACAGTGAATTTTTGTGTTTGTAATTCAGACGTACCCTTGACAGGTGAATGCACGCATAGTTTTGCATTTTAGTGTGGATTTCCTACATAATTTGCCCTGCAAATACCAGCAGTCTCGTTTAATCGTCTGCAAATGCCATTCACGAAATACTCTCGTGCCTGAGATTCCGCGTCGACACACGTGCATTTCAAATTTTCCCATTCTAGTCAATGATTAGATTTACTCTTTAAATACACACGTGTTTGTGTTTCTCTTTATAGATGCAAATTTAAATTGCTTTCTGATCAATAGAGTTATTGCTTCCATAGAAAACGAAACATTACATTTTTTTTACATAGATTTCTGTTTTTACTATTAGGCATTTAGAAAATTAATTCAAAATCACAATTAAGATCTTTTTGTTTAATAATAAAATTAAAAAGATAACTATTATTCACCTTTTTTTTAGTTTCGGATTCAAATTTTCCAGCTTTTTGTGTGTTAGTGAGTGTAATTAATTTACGAATTCCAAAACCAAATGTGAAAAATTACCCACGTCGAAAAATTCCATGGAAGTACCTCCCGGAAATTCCATGGAAATTCTACAAGTTTTTGATTTTAAAAATATTTTAACATTTCCAGTTTTGTCATAGGTCAGGAAAATCAGGGAAAAAATTGAATTTATAAGAAGTTACAAATGATTGCAAAAATTCAATTATTTTTAAAAGTAATAAAATTCTTTGCAAAAATTTAATTATGTTCAAAAATTTTTAAAAATGCCACGTCAAAATTTCAATTATCTTTAAAAAAAATAAAATTCTCCAAAATTTAATTATGTTCAAAAAATTTTAAGAATGCCACGTCAAAATTTCAATTATCTTTAAAAATAAT